CGCATAAGCATAGAGCTTATAATTTGCGCGGACTTTTAATGTATTAAAGTTTGGATAATTGGTGCTTGCTGAGAAATTCAACAGAAACCCCACTCTATACCTTTCAAATTTAGGTATCCGGCGATTATAATTTGACCTTCTATAGACCCGGCTGTATCTTCTTTATTGTCAAGCCTTTTTTGAAATTCTTGTGTGTTATCGCTTGGTGGCAATTAGCAGCTAATTATTGGGGAAAGGTCGCATCTGGTCCATATAAAACCGCTGATATCCTATTTAACTATAATTAAACTAATAATGACGAGTTATGCCCTACTTTTTAGTGTTTAACAGAGGCAGTATAATGGGAGCTTTGCGCAAAGATATGGATTCAAAGCAGTGCAAACAACTTTTTTAGCAACTTGATGCGGTTTAACGCGTGTCTGTCGCACCAGAGCATCGCCTTTCTCTTCGTGATGAAGAGTTATATACACAGTTTCCGATCGCTGAAAGATGGTCTTGAGTGCCTCATAGAACCTGGCTTTTGCAGTATACCCCTTCTCAAGCTCTAATAACAACGCCCGTCGCTTGTTTTGTGGATCCCTTTAATCTCATTCTTCTGCTTATTTAAGATTTACCTTACCGCGAATATTCTTAAAGACCTCTGCGAAGCTATTGGTTTCTGCTGGCTAAAATATCACGGATTCATTACCCTCATCGCTACGTGGTTGCACTGTTTATCGAGATTCCTCTGGGCTTTTCGAGCTTCGCTTCGAGGTAATTGATTCGGGAGTCATGGGATGCCAGCTTAGTTGCCCCTGACTTCTCTATTTTTCTACGGTAAGCTAGTTTCTACGATAATTCTTGATTTAGTCAAAGAGTTCTTCTAGCTGTGCCACTCCGTTCTTTACATCCATACTGACAGTACTGTCAGTCTGTCAGTAATGTCAGTCACATTAATGTCAAAATATTCATTAGTGTTTGAGATACGTGTCATTTTGTGAGCTGCTAAAAGTGAGTTCGTCGTTTTTTGCGATGTCGAAATTTCTTGAGAATTTGCATTAAATCATCATTTCGCCAAAAACTCAACTCATATTGTTCCGCAACCACCGTATTCACCTGATCTGGCGCCGTGCGACTTCTGGCTGTTCACCAAGCTCAAAAGACCGCTCCGGGGACACCGTTTTTATACGATATTCAAGCCTCAGCGAAGACGGAACTGAAAGCCATCCCGGAAAGTGACTACAACCAGTGTTTCGAAGATTGGAAAATCCGTTGGCGTAATGTACTACATCGAATGGGGATTACTTTGAAGGGGATGAAATTGATTTGGAAGAATAAATAAAGAATTTTCAAAATAAATACAATGCCAGCTAATTTTTTTTGCCAAAGGTATATACAAACAGAGAGGTCACGCCGGGACTGACACAAGTCTTGTGGGAGTTTATACTCACATCCAGAAGTTCGTCGCAACTAAAACTGTATGCTCAAAAATATGGCGACGTGCATTGAACGTACTTGATGACCTGAAAGCTTTTAAGCGAAACGGAGATGACAACAGCATTAGCCTGTGAGTCTTTTCATTGATATTTCACAGAATGACAGAATGCTGCTCTTACTAGCCGTTTGTCATAACTAATCCATTCTAGGCTTCCAGTACCCCAAAATCTGAATCTTACTGGCCTCGACTCTGATGGGCAGTTGCACCGGGTTTCGTCTACGCCTGTGCACGTGAGGTGCAGTTTGCTGTGTGATCCCTCGTAGTTTTGTTGCCTCTCTTGGGTAAATTTTTACCCGTTGCAACTCCAGTGGGGGTTAAAAACGCTTATTTAAAAGCGCATTTCTTCGCCTTTTCGGCGAAGATTCATTAGGTGCGTGAGGCATTTTGAGCCAAACCCTGGATCTTACAAAATTTTGCTTTTAAATGTTACATAGATAGATATGTAGATAATAATTGAGATTTTCACCGCGATCTGAAGTCTATTGCTAATCAGCTGGTGTTCTGCTGCCTCCGGTACCATGTCGCAGAACATACAATTTGCACAAGAAAATAAGCCCATGTCGCATAAGTTCTTTTTGAGCTTACAAAAGTCAGGGTAGAATGAGACAAGAAGTCGGGACTTGGGAGATTGATTACGTTTTTCATCCTGTCAAGATTGTAACCACCCATTAGCCACTTTGCTTGGGGCATAAATGGTTCCGGTCCTACCATTTTGCTGGATTAACGGGTACCCAGATGGACACGGCTACGACCTGATAGACTGGTCAGCCGTTCGATACACTACTGCAGCAGAAACGATTTGATCTCATAAGCTTTAAGTGACGCTTGAATGTTGCTGAGCATGGCGATACTTTCTTGTGACAGTTGCGTTGAAGGTTAATCTCTACATACCGACTTATATCAAAGACCTGTGCTCGGAAACTCTCATATGCATACAGAGTTTGGTGCAGGGTCCTGCGACTTCAGCTCAAATTCCCTCCGAAGTTTACGTGCCGTCGGTGTACTACTTGATTCTGCTATCCGTAATCAGTAGGCCGAGAGTGTAATCATTCCATGGAGCCTATGCTCCATGATGCTATGCTTAACTTTGAACTTTCTCGCGACGTTGACTTTTTTGGAAATACTGTCCCTTGGGAGAAGAGCCAGGGGCCCTTATAGCTTTTATTTGCTAAGATGAGATTACTCTCTATACCAAACCCTTCTGCTGTCATTTGTTGTCAGTGTGTTTTTCACTACCTGATTGATTACTAGGCATTCGTGATAATCGGTCGTGCAATCATGGTGTACATCCACCCGATAACACTTGACTTGCAGGAATGCTCCGCGACCTTTGGTCTATTGTGCCCACTCCTGACTCACATTGACTCGCATAGCCCCAGCACATTAATGAAGTCCAATAGACTACCGTGTGCTAGCGAGACAATGCGATCCCTATCCGGAAACATCGTTCCAAGGACCTTAGTCCTGCGTCTACAGACTGCTTTGCAGTCAATCAGCAGGTGCTCCGGGGTTTCAGGCTACCTGTCGCAGAACCGGCAGGTAGCTCAAGACGATAGGTCCATGCTGTGCAGATGCCTATTCAGCTTGCTGTGGCTGGTGTACCATGCGACTAGTAGCCTTCGCTTGTTTCTGGTTAGGTTTATTACAACTTTGAACCTTGTCAAGTTGTATCCTCCCAATAGCAACTTGGCATGTCTCATGGGGACCCACCCCCGTTAAGGGTTGGGGTTCTCCCATCTTTGGTGGAGGCTCTGGAGCGGGCGAGCTCGTCCGCCAGTTCGTTACCGGCTACTCTGTAGCTCTGTGACAAGGCGCCAAGATTAGGTGTACCTGGTTTCTTTCCGCAATGCTGTTCAGCCTTTCCCTGCACTCCTGCACTAGTAGCGGTTTGATCTCGTAAGAGGAGATCGCTTTTAGCGCCGCTTGACTATTGCTGAGAATGGCTATTCGTTCATTGCGATAGTTGCGATGGAAGTTTATTTCTAAACACCGGCTTATGGCAAAAACTTCTGCCTGGAAAATGCTCTGGAACTCTTCCATGGGTATGGAGAGCATAGTGCGTGTTCACAAAATCCCTGCGCGGAATCTATCCGATATTTTTGAACCATCGGTGTACCACCTTAAAGTGCTGTTCCTCAACATCAGCTCGAGGTGGGAGTCGTTCCATTGGTCTTTACTGCCGAGGGTGACCTTAAACTTTTTCCAGAAGTTAACGATTTTGGTAGCGCTGTCTCTCGGGAGTAGAGCCAATGGTATATTGCCACTTATCTTTTCCATCCTCTGGGAGGAGACTACCTTGCCTTTTCCCCTCCCCTCAGCCATTATTTGTAGAAAGGTGTGTTTGGCTACCTGATCAATAACCAAATGAAGAGGAGTAAGTTCAAGCAGAACCTCCAGTGCTGCCGTTGGACAGGTGCGCATTGCACCCGTCATTCAGACACAGGCCAGCCGCTGTAGCTTCAGTAGCTTGGGCTTAACCGAAGTTTGCGACGCTATTGAGGCCCAGGCCTTGGATCCCATTGTCCGTCTAGACTCCAGAGAAGGGGTGATAACACAACCCCTGTGGGCAGCCTCTTGTTGTACCGAGACGAATCCTTCTATCACCAACTGTGGTCTCAGCAACCCTGATCCGCAGTACGGCTTCTATCCATCTGCGCACCGGTGCTGCCACACCCATTTTCTCCAGTGCAATGGCTACACTGTTGTGAGACGTGTTATCGAAGGCACCTTCGATGTCTAAGACGCCCAGAGCATCACCTCCCCATGCTCCAGTGAAGTCTCTAGCTCAGAGGACAACTGGTACAGAGCAGAGTTGGTAGATCTGCCGACTCTGTAGGCATGCTGAGCCGCATGCAGGGGTGGTCTCTTCCGCGCTTTCGTCCTTATTTCCTGATCCGCGATCTTCTCCATGGTTTTTAGTAGGAAAGACATTAGGCTGACTGGCCTGAAGGATTTCGCCAACGAGTAGTCTTTCCTTCTTACTTTGGGTATGATGATCACCTACGCTGTCCTCCATACTTCGGTGAATTGCGCCATTGCGATTCTCTCTCTCAGCAGCCGAACCAGGTGAGGCAGTAAAAACGCCAGTAAAAACATGTTGCAACAGCGCCAGAAAGATGCCATCCCCTCCCGGAGACTTGAATCTCTCAAACGAGGCAATCGCCCACCTGATCGAGTCTGCCATAAATAGCTGTTTGGCGATACTCCAATCCTCGCGGGATGACCTGTGTTCAATCACGGGTAGACATTGGTCTTCCCGAACTGTCTCCGGGAAGTGCGCCCGCAGAAGCTGCGTGACTCTGTTCTCGGCGCTGGTCGTAAATGTCCCATCAAATCGTTTAATTGCTATTTCTACGCCCTTCGTACCCCTGGCCAGAGCTTTATGCAGCCGAGCAGCTTCTGGAGTATATATATATATATTTTCCCGTAGTTCCTAGGTGGAACATAGGGCCTCAATAAACAAATTATAATTAATTTTGGTTACAGCTATATATTTAATTTCTCTCCATGAATAACTACTTCTCTATGCTTCTGCTTCGACTTCCCGTCTCCAGGTGTTGGCTGGTCTACCGCGTCTTCGGCTTCTTTGCGGATTCCAATCTAGCGCTGTTCTGCTAATGTCGTCGTGAGGCTTTTGCAGAGTGTGGCCGATCCATTTCCATTTACGACGTTGAATTTCGATGTGGATCGGTAGCTGTTTGGTTACGGTCCAGAGGTTAGTATTACTAATAACGTTAGGCCAGAATATCCGCCAAATTTTTCGAAGACATCGACTAAAAAAGGATTGCAGCGATTGTAAAACATTCGCTGCGACATTCCACGTTTCGCAGCCATATAATACAATGGATTTATCGCTTGAGTCGAATATTTTTAGCTTCGTACGTATGGATATATGTGTTGATTTCCAGACTTTATCCAACACTCCGAAGGCAGCGTGACCTTTGGATATACGGTTTCGTATATCGGCTGCTGATCCACCGTTTTTAGATATGATGCTACCTAAATAGCAAAACTCGTCTACTTCCTCGAGACCTGGTCCAGCGATCTGTAGGTTTGGCGTTTCGGTTGTGTTGATGCTCATTAATTTTGTCTTCGTTATATTAATGTTAAGTCCAGTTTGTGCGGCGAGATCACTAACAGCTTCAAGTTTCAAGGAAATGTGCGAAAATTTATGGGACAACAGGCAGATATCATCCGCATAGTCCAAATCCAAACACGCGACCAAATTGATTAAAAGGGGAGATAGCACGCATCCCTGCCTGACACCAGTCCTTACTTGGATACCGCTACTTAAAATATTTCCACACCTTACTCGACAACTAGCTCCTGAGTACAGCTGTTTTATTAAGTTAATTCTGCCGTAGTGGCGACATTCTCGCAGAATCTCCTGAAGCTTGCCTGCTTTCCAGACCTAATCATTTTATTGTATAAGATGAGATAGCTCCTGTATTCTGCCCAGACCCAAGTACGTTTCGCTTTGTTAAACAGGCTACGTACTTTTTTCCGGAGGTCTGCTAGTTTCTTTGACCACCAGGGATAGTTTCGTCTATCTGTGGGCACTTCTAGGGGGCAACTGCCATGGTAATATTACTAACAGACTCGTTCAGCTCAGATAGCCTAATCCCCAGTCCTGGGCCTGAAACGCTATTATCAGTTTGGCCCCCCCTGCTTGATTCCTCACTCAATATATCCCTGAAGGCGTCAGAATTCGCCTTCCAAGGGTTACGTCTAGGAGGGAGTTGCCTGACCTATACCTTTATCGTGAACGCTACAATCCTGTGGTCCGATAAGGAGGGCTTCGTCGAGACTCTCCATTGCGACACAAATCTGGTCGCAGGCTCATTGCTCAATGTGATGTCCAACACCTGCCTCCTGCCTCCTGCTTATATTTATAAATGTGGGTTCACACCCTACATTCTCTATCACTAAGTTGCTACCTACTATGTACTCTAAAAGAAACTCACCTCTTACGTTGCAGTCGGTACTGCCCCATTCCAAGTGGTGAGCGTTTGCGTTGCAGCCTATGATAAGGGGGTGCCTGTGCCTTCTACAATGCTCCACCTGCCTTTCCACTACCGCCGGTGGTGCCTTAGATGCCTCCCCTGGGAAGTAGGCTGAAGCCAGGACGAAGTCCTTGCCTTCCAAGTCCCTGGCTTGATTTGACTCCGCCCCGAGGACTTTGACCTCTCCTCTGTGGACCCAAGGATCTGAGATCAGCAGTACGCTCAGTTTCTCCGCTGTGAACCGTTATGACAGCTGAGGCTGCAGCCACGTAATGCAGGTTCACCTGGGCGATCTCCGTATTGACGGCCATCATAGTATGGGTTCGAGGAAGGGCAGATCCTTTTCCCCTCCATCCATCCCGCAATTGCCGGCATCGTGAACGTCGGTGATCGCCGCTGGCACCACCTGCCCATTCTGCTTCCGCCGGGCTGATCCGCCACCTCGTCCACCTGCATTGCTACTACCTCCGGGGCTGCCACAGTCACTGCCTGTATCCCGATGCCCCTGCTTTGGTGAGTGGCAGGCATAGCAACTTCCTTGCTCCCGGTGGCTGCAGGCTTGTGGGGCCGCATGACCACCGTCCTGAACCTGTAATACAGGCGGAAGCTCGCTTCCCGGACGTACTTGTACGACTCGTCGTCAATGTAAAGGTACAATCTCTAACCTTTCATGTCTCCATTTTCCTCCGTTTTGCTGCCGACGACGCTCGATGACGAAAGGCTGGGGCCCCGATTCTGATTTTTCGCCAGACCTAGGGCGAACTGATAGGGTTTGTTCCCGCATCGGGGGAGGAACATTGTCATGCTATGCATGCCTCCCAGCTTTAGGGCGAACTCCCGCATCCAGCTGCTGGACGTCTCGTCCATGCAGTCCACTTGCAGTATATCTCTTCTTAACTCTACCCCCAGGAAGGATGCCGCATATACATTCCCTCTGAACACCTCTTCCATAAGAAGGTCCTCCGGTTTCAACGACTCTGCAGGAAAGTTTTGAGGCAATACAGCCATGCGGATGCGTTTAACAGCGTCCGCAAATGTGCGCCTCCCCTCCTCCACCCGATAGGAAGCCGGTCCAGATGGTTGGACTCCGGCTGCCTTTGCATTGCTTCCCCTCAGCCTTTTAGAGCTGTGGGGCATCTACGGCGTGATCTGGCCGCTCTTGCGCTTCGCGGATTGGACATACGTGTCTGAGGGCCGTGCCCTGCTATCACCACGCCTTGCGGTCAAGGTGGTACTGACCAGGCCACGGTTGCTGGGGATGCGTTGCTCCCTTTACATCTGCTCTGGCCACAGTCCCCGCTACCTCAAGAGTCTTCTCATCTCGGAGGTACCGCAGGTACCACTTCATGATGGCAACGCTCATTCCCTTCCAGTGCGGGACGTCGCACCCGCCGGGCTTGCTAGCTTATCATTGCCCGTGTCCGTTCTCCTTAGTTGTTGCTTTGTTTCAGTGTTTTCCAATTTTGTAGTTTGATTTTGTTTTTGAGTGTTCCACTTGTTCTTGCGACCCTTGGCTCAACAACGTAAGCTCTCGGGTCTATTGTTTTAATGGGGAACTAGGAGGTTCGCCACACCAGAGCCCCTTGACGCGGTAAGGCCACTGTTACTCCTCAATTCGGTCCGGTGTTGGGGAGGCTCCGTTAGAATACAGCCGAATTAACGTCCTGGCTGCAAATCATCCAATGGGAACGGGAGTCGCATAACACCCTGGATTAGGAGGTGGTAGCTCTTGGTTGGCGCACGCATGCGGCACCCAACAGCCTACCTGGGCAGTGCCTATCAGCACCATCCACGCCTTGCGCCTAAGACCCTGCACTGCGGCATGATGCCTACCATTCGCAGAGGCCTCTGGGTAACCACAGAACATATTTTTGAAGACGAGCTAAAGAGAAAAGGCGAACTATCTCTCCTTAGGGTTATGCGCTGAGTGCGCCCCCAATGAAAAATAAACATCAATCTCGGAAGAGAGACCTCCTTTTAACGACAATCATGACGAACGTATTAAGGACAGCGATTTAAGGGCAGGAACTTGGAATGTCCGGTCCCTATATTGGGAAGGTTGATGTCCTCGTTAGGCTGAAGGCTGACATCACCGCCCGCCGTCCAAGAAGTGCAATAGACGGGACAAGGACTGAAACGAGTAGGTCCTTATGACATTTACTACAGTGGTCATATAAAGGAGCGCAAAATAGGTAAGGGACTCATGGTGGGAGATAGACTCCATCACCGAGTACTGTCATTTACCTCGGTGGATGAATGTCTAGCCACAATCCGCATCAAAGCAAAGTTCTTCAACATGTCGCTGATTTGCGCCCAGGTCCCGACAGAAGAGAAGGACGATATGACCAAAGATGCCTTCTATGATCGTTTATAGCGCATCTATGAGAGCTGCCTAAGCCACGATGTCAAGATCGTGCTTGACGACTTTAACGCGAGAGTGGGCAAAGGAGGTATCTCTGGCACAACGGTCGCTAAATTCAGCTTCCATGAGGAAACTATCTCAAATGGGTTGAGTCTGTTCGACTTCGCCGAGGCCTGAAATATGGTTATATGTAGTATTAGATTCAAGTATAAAAACAATTCTTCAAGCTACCTGGCTGTCTCCCGACCTAAAAGCCTAAGAACAAATAGACGGAAGACACGTCTTCAGTGTTTTAGACGAGCGTACGCTCGGGGTCCTAGCACTGACTCGGACAACGATCTTGTTGCAGTCAAGATACGCACCCCGCTCTGTGCATCAAACGCACGTCAACAAATACAAGGAAGGTTCGACGTCGAAAAGCTGCAATCACAACAGATAACCAAACGGTTTTTTACTCGAATTGCACTCCTGCTCTCTGAGAGCACTCATCAAGAACTCGATATAAGGGAACTGTAGGACGGCATTTCAAGCTCCTTACGTACAGCTGCAAACGAAATCATTAATTCTCAGGAAAGGCTAAAGAACGGCTGGTACGAGGAGCGTCGTGTCGCAGCGAAAAAAGGGGGCGAAATACGTGAGTACGAAGAGCTTGATGACCTGGTCGACAGGGGTAATGCTCGAAAATTATATGAAAAGATGCGGCAACTAACAGAAGGTTTCCAGACCGAAGCATACCCGTGTAGAATCCAAGGAGGTGATCTAGGAACCGCTGCCAGAGTATACTGCAATTATAAAAGGAACACGTCTTCAACAGTGAAAGCATAACTCCAGGAGAGGGCGAACCCGATTCCGATGGAGCAGACGTTCCATTGCCCGACCATGAAGAAGTTCGAAAAAAAGTTATCCACTTGAAGAACAAAGGGGGGGCCTCAGGGTTGAAAAAGTTTACAATGAACTACCTGATCAGCGTACAATCAACCATACTATTCTGAGGTAAAAACTCTTAATTAAGGAGAATTAAAAAGGGGGTTCCGGGTTCGTTCCGGTTAAGTAGACCCGACTGTCGTGTGACGGAAGGGATTTTCTATCACCTCGCACGCTGATGATTGCACGATAATGACGTCGGATAATGGAATTGATGCTGTGCGCTCAAATGCAAACCAAAGTGTTTCCCCACAAAATGCAGAGTGACCGTTTTCACTCTGCAATCCGGTTTATAACGGGAGACCTTTGATGTCTCCGATCGAACATCTGAATAGTGAGGCCCGTATACTTCCAGTTAAGGGACATAATGAATTCCGCGCGAGCAGTGTCTGCTGGAGTGTTTTCCAGCTTGAAGCGGACCCTCCTTTTAGGAACATCAAATGGTCTTTCCTTGACAACATCGACATTAGACAGTACGTTGACCAGACTTCGGACGCTGTGAACTTATACACGCATTGCCATAAACTCCTTCACCGTCTGCATGTCAGTGACTGGCGTACTTGAAGTCAAACCACCGCCTATTGCAGACGACTAGCTCTAGTTGCCGCAAGAATTGAGTGGCTCTTGCGCACCTTTGTTCTAGATAGTTCTCCCTATGGTCCGACCCTGTCGAAACAGCACGTTTTTTGGGCCTACTATCCTAACGAGGACTACATAACCGTTACAGCAGTAATAAGTGAGATTTATATTTGGGAAACAAAGAATCCTTGTGTGCATATCAAGTGTCAGGAATATGAAGTATTTGAACGAGTTCTATGCCTGTGTGTATGTGAGTAATATTTCGCAAACTGTTTAGGCTGCTGATAAAATTTTTTATTTGTATCATAAAGTGAAATACTTACGGGTGTTCTTATTGTAATTGTTTGCCGTCATCTAATTTAGTTTTTTTTTACACTTTATAAACTACAATCGTTTTGAAATTGAAATAATTCATTTACAATAATTGAGATACTATTTCATACGTATATGGTGTAATATTTATAATTATGACAGATCGTGAATACGCTATATTAGAATTTTTATTTACTACCAATTGATATTAAAAACGTTTTACTTCCGATAATTTCAAAATTAAATCTAAATTCATATAGATGATACTGCTTATTTAGTGTCACCAAGCGATCTAATAAAAAATATTATTTAACATGATTTCCAGGTAATACACAACTTTAAGCATAATATTTCCACACTGTGACATTAATTGCTCACTGGTGCTGAGGAATGTTGTATATTTCTCTCGAAATCTTCTAGACATAACGCTTGGTTCATATTGAGAAGCGGAAGTTTCCCAGCAGATGCTTGCGCAAGTAACTCGGGCGAAAACCACTGCGCCAATTGATTACTCGTGGGAGACAAGCCACCATCACGCTGATAATTTATTATGCTGGCGGCAGCAGTTGTAGCAGTTGCAGCAGCGTTATTTATCATACCATTATTATCATTAACAAGTGACGTCTGCATACAAA